GGGGGGGACCCGGGGGAGGGGGGGTCGGCGGCCTCCCGCGCGTTTACATCCCGCATGCGCGCAGGGGCCCGCGGCGCGGAGCTCTCTCCCGAGAAGTGACAGCACAGCAGCCGTTTCTGCGTGAAAAAGCCTCCAGTTTTTCAGTCCGGGCGAGGGGGCAGGTGGTGCGGGGACATCCAGTTACAAGGCGGAGGGCGGCGGTCCCGGTTCCCTGGAACTCAGCAACCTGACCGGGACGGGCCAGGATGGCGCGGGCATCCACCCCAGCGCAGCTCACAGAAGGTTCTGGGCTTCCGCAGACCGGGCCTTTCCCGGGATTGTCTGGTGTCCGTGTTTTACAGCATGGGAACCTGGAGATCTACCATGAGATCCCCAAACTCCAGGGTAAACAGCACAGGAGCGGCGCCGACGTGGGCTGCGGGGCGGCAGATGCGGGTCTCCGGGGCCGGCTCCCGGGCCTCCCCCCTCCTCGCGCTCGGGCCGCGAGCCGTGTGCGGCAGCGCCTTAGTCCCAGGGCAGCGGCAGGTCCTGGGGGTCCAGAAACTCGGCGGAGAACATGCTGGGCGCGGTGGCGCTGAGGGGGGTGAGCCCCGAGGACGAGCTGGGCAGGGTGATGTCCAGCCACTCCATGCTGTCCAGGTTGGAGTCCGAGAGGTCGAGGGACAGGCAGGGGGTGCCCGCGGCGAAGGGCGCGTCGGCCGTCTCCATGGGCGCGGGTGAGGGCTCGAGCGCCGGCTGGCTCAGCAGCTCGGCCTGCAGGTCCTCGATCAGGCAGAAGGCCTCTCTGTCCTCGGCCGCGCCCTGCAGCGGGGTGACGTCGCCGGCCGCAGCCAAGGTTCCGTCCAGAAAGGCTTCCAGCTGGTTCTCCAGGCTGGCCGAGAGGCTGCTCAGGGGCTCTAAGGCTACAGGGGGCGCCATCTGGACTTGGGGCGGCGGCCGGGACACCACGGTGTTGACCGGCATGGTGGTGATGCTGGCTGTCACTGGTCTCATCTTGGAGATCGGGGAGGGCTCTTCTTTGATAGGGAGGGAGATCTCTGTGTAAAGTGATGGACACGATTAGCAAAGAATTCAGGCACCACTGGCTAACTTACTACTTTGACGACTCCTCGCATCGTCTTGGAACAGAGAACTGTGGGATCAGCCTAAGTCCCCATCAGCTGCGGGGTGGGTAAAGAAAACCGGCCCAGACACACAGGGAATATGGACACAAAGAAGGAAAGGATGCTGTGTGCCAGCGCATGGATGGAACTGGAGAGCATGATGTTAAATGAATTCTGCCAGAATTAGAAAATCATCTTTTCTCTTATACATGGGATCTAGATTAAAAAAAAAAAAAACACCTGAAAACGGAGGAGGGTAACAGAGGGGAAGAGGCGGCGGAGGGGAGGGGAGATGAAGCACTGGTGAACATGGATGGAAGAATGAACAGCACAGTGGAACTTTCCTAAGATTAATATCAAAAGCTAAAAGAGAAAGCACAGGTCCCTGCTTACTTGTTTCCAGACTGGTTTTCTGAATTTGTATAAACTCAGGATTTGATACGTACCCCCCCTCCCCCAGTGCTCTACCACTTTGAGGCACAGCACCACTTTTGGTTTTTGAGTAGTTGATTGGAGATAAGGGTCTCATGGGGATTTTCCTGCTTGCCTGGCCTGGAACGGTGATCCTCCTGAGTCGCTAGGATTCTGGGTGTGAGCCACCAGCGCCCGGCTTGATGTGTGTCTTAAGCACAGATTATGTTATTCCTTGCTAGGTCAAGTGGCAAGTTATTGGCCCCTGCTGTAGTCACATGTGCACACAACCAACCTCCTTCACTTTTATGAGGATTAGCTGGCTTTGTTTTATGCAGACCCACTAGGAGAACCAACTAATGGCAGGTCTTACAGCTCAGCTGTAAAGTGGACACTTCAATGGGTGAGAACACGGCCTTGGAGCATGGGCTGTGCACGTTCAGCAGTGCCGCCCTTCCTCACCCAGCGTCCTAGCCCGTGAGCAGGCTTGTGCTCTGTGCTTACACCCTTGTTCCACTTGCTGCTGGCGTCAGCAGCAGGATGAAGTAGCACACAGCTTCACCTCGTGATAAGAAAAGCTCTCTCTTTTAGAAAGTAATTGTTTGCTGGCTTTTGCACTTTCATTTCCAAGTGTAGGCTGTAATATGATGCTTGTTCATTTACAAAGTCTTTTATCAGGTTTAGAAAAAAAATTGGGGGGGGCAGTTGTGGGGCTTAAACTCTGCTTAGGGTGAGCACTCTACCACTTTGAGCTCCATTTCTGGTTTTCTAGTGGTTAATTGGAAATAGTCTCACAGGGAGTTTTCTGCCTGTGTTGGCTTTGAAGTGTGATCTTCAGATCTCATCCTCCTGAGTAGCTGCGATTATCTCGGCTTCCTGAGTAGCTGCGATTATAGGCGTGAGCTACCAGTGCCTGGTTACATTTTATTTTATTTTGTCAGTTGTGGGGCTTGAACTCTGGGCCTGGGCACTGTCCCTCAGCTCTTCAGCTCAAGGTGAGCGCTCTACCACTTGAGCTACAGCACCACTTCCGGTTTTCGAGTGGTTTACTGGAGATAAGAGTTTCTCAGACTTTTTTGCCCGGGCTGGCTTTGAACCGTGATCCTCAGATCTCAGCCTCCTGAGTAGCTAGGATGACAGGTGCGAGCCACTGGTGCCTGGCACATTTTACTTTTTAACCATCACATTAGAACATGGATTGCCTCTTAAAAAGCCCATAGTTGAGATGCACCATGAGCTTATTTTGCAAGGCCGACATATTCTTAGCAAAACCCACACTTCGCATGCCACTGCCTGCAGTCCTGTGTCAGAACTCTCTTTGGTGCCAAGTTTCCAACCAGAACATCAACCTCACTGTCAAAAGTGCCTGGTACCAATGGAGACATTTCATCACACTGAAAATGTCAAAGAAAACTTCTTCCACCAGGGTCATTTAAAAGTACTTTGAAACAACCCAGATGCCCCACCACAGATGAATGGATCCAAAAACTGTGGTATCTATACACAATGGAATATTATGCAGCCATTAGAAATGACAAAATAATGGCATTTGCAGGGAAATGGATGGAGCTAGAAGGAATCATGTTGAGCGAGGTAAGCCAAGAACGAAGAGACAAACGGTACATGGTCTCCCTGATAAGTGGATGCTAAATCCAAAACGTTAGGTGATATGACAAAACTAACAGGACTTAAGAAACAACTCCCACTCATCTGGTTGAACCACTACTAAATATCCCCATGCTGCTGATCACATATATGGTATATAACATGTGAGCACCGTTATATATTACAGACTGTGATAGACAATTTGCTTCAGGAAAGTTAGAATGAACTTGTGACTTTAAATGAGCATCATTATTCCACAATACTGTGAATTTCCGGAAATTATGTAATCACTTAATCACAATCAAAATAAAAAAAAGAACCTCGGGGAAGGGAGGGAGGGAGGGGAGGGATGGTAGGGGGAAAACAATGGAGGGGGTAACAATGTTCAAGAGGAAGTGTACTCATTACCTCACTCATGTAACTGTAACCCTCTGTATAGTATCTTTACAATAAAAAAATTAAAAAAAAAGTACTTTGAAACAGCCAGGTGGCGGTGGCTCTCGCCTGTCATCCTAGCTTGTCAGGAGACTGAGATCTGAGGATCTTGGTTCAAAGCCAGTCTGGGCAGGAAAACTGTGAGACTCTTATCTCCAATAAACCACTCAGAAAACCGGAAGTGGTGCTGTGGCTCAAGTGGTAGAGCGCTTGCCTTGAGCTGAAGAGCCGAGGGACAGCACCCAGGCCCAGAGTTCAGGCCCCACGACTGACAAAAAAAAAAAAAGTACTTTGAAACAGCAAATAACTTTTGTCCTTTTTTTTTTGTCAGTGCTGGAGACTGAACTCAGGGCCTCGTACAGGTTAGGCAAGTGCTCTAGCACTGAGCTATAAGCACAGCTCTTGAACTTTTGAAATAGATTTTATACTTACTTTGAAGGCCACGTAAGCAGAGGCAAAGATACCCTTGTTATTCTGTGGTCGACCGACTGCTATCTCTGTTAAGACTATGTGCTGTAAATCTGAGTCTTTGAGCCCAGGTCACTTGCTGGCCCAGGACTAACGTAGCCTGGGAGGGACCTGGACACACAGACCTGAAATTGAAACTGCCTCTGTGCTGTGCCTGGGAAATGGTCTTTGCTTTTCATCTGGCCTGAGTCTATGGAGACGCAGCATCGCGTTACTGTGTGAACTCTCACCAGCGGCTTTCTCTCCTTGTACTACAAGTTGTCTTAACGGCCTTAAACGAAACAGATTTAAAAACAAGTGCTAGGATTAGCTCTTCCTCGGTGTGCGCAGGTGAGCTGAGCTGGAGGGCCACTCTTGGGCATCTGTGTGTGTGTGGTCAGGTCCTGCTTGACTTCACCTACCTCCACTCTTTATGAGGATGTCGAAGAGGTCGTCCATCTGCTGGCTGTGCGCGGTGGAAATCTGCAGAATAAAAGAGAACACGGTGTTAGCCGGCTGCCCACGTGTGCCGTGCCAGCTCCCTGCACACGCCATTCTACCATCTGGTTTTCTGGGAAACACTGAGGGCACCTGAGAATGAGCCCAAGTGTCACAGCTGTGTAGGTAAACTGAGAGCAGAGCAAGAAGTCAGCTCAGAGCACGTCCGCGCTTCCTCATCTCCTGTCACAGAAGCACTTTTTCAAAGGTGCCTTCATTCACTTATGCGAAAAGCTGTGCATCACCAGACGGCCACGGCACGTAGTGCATGCTTTGCCAGCTTTGACTTTGACCTACTGAACAAGAAGCTGCCTTTCATGTAAATGATGCGTTTAGTTCCTGACGGCCGCCGACCTGTTTCCCGGGCCCTCCCATCAGCCTGTGCTCTTCCAGCGTGTCCGTGTGCTTTGGGCAGGGCAGGGCTGGGCTGGGCTGGGCTGGGCTGGGCTGGTTAGTGGGCCTCACACTTGCTAGCAGGCGCTCTACTGCGCAAGCCGCGCGCCCTACCTCATTTTGTTTTCATCATTTTTCAAAGAGGGTCTTAGGTTTTAGCTGGTCTGAACCATGATCCCCCTGTTTATTCTTCCCACGTAGCTGGGACAAACAGGGGCAAGCCAGTGCTCCCAGCGTTTTATTGGTTGAGAAGGGATCGAGCAACTTTTTGCCTGGGCGGTCCGGTCCTCAGCCTTCTGGGAGCTGGCATTACAGACCCGTCCACACAGATCTGTGGATGTAAATGGATCCACAGTAGGTTCTCTTTTTGGCAGACATGAGAAGAATTAAGATTCTTTTACTCTGTAATTACTTTGAGATTTATGCCTTTAGGAATAGTTCTTTCCTTTTTATTCCTAAGTGGTATTGCTAGACTTCTTCGTTCACCTGCTATTGGACGTCCACTTTGGGTTTCCAATTGAGTTGCCAGGAAAATGTGGGTACAAGTCTTTGTAAAAACATATGCTTGGGCTGGGAAGGTGGCTCAGTGGTAGAGCATTTGCCTTGCATGCCTGAGGCCCTGGGTTTGATTCCTCAGCACCACATAAGCGAAAAGAAAAAAGCCGGAAGTGGCACTGTGGCTCAAGCGGTAGAGCGCTAGCCTTGAGCTGAAGAGCTGAGGGACAGCGCCCAGGCCCAGAGTTCAGGCCCCACAACCGGACCCAAAAAAAAACAAAACAAAAATATGCTTTTTTTCTCTTTGGCAAAAATTTAAGACTGGAGTAGCTAGATGATTGAGTGGATAGACCTGCAACTCTTTTTAAATTAGCTTATGTTATAAGGAAAGAGATTTTACCGTTCCATTCCACGTATTTACCATAACAGATCTCAGCCTCCTGAGTAGCTGGGACTACGGGGTGAGCCACCGGCGCCCGGCTGCTCACACAGTCCGTATTCCCATCAGCAGGGTGCGATTTCTCGGTGTTCTCATTTACACGGCTGGGTTGTAAGTGCTGGGTGTGTCACGAGGTATGTAGTGATGTCACAGTGGTTTTATTGGCATTTCCCTGAGGACTAAATGGCTGGGCGCGTTCCCACATGCTGCCCTGCCTGTTATTTTATGGTGAAATGCTTGACTCTTGCCAACAGCAGGTGGTCTGTTTAGGCATCGGCCTTGAGCCTGTGTCTGTGTTTGATGTAGGACTATGGAGAACGTCAGGCATCTGTCGCTGCCCTAACTGCCCCAGCCCTCTGGGGCAGGTCTGTGGGCATGGAGCTTAGGGCGGGCGTGGCTGGGCTGCGGCTTGCAGTGTGCTGGAGGTTGCATGGAGGTGCTGGCTGCACTGGGTTGCCTGGGTCCTTGGCTGGGCGCTGCCTAGACAGACCATGGAGCGGGGGCAGCACAACCGTCAGACTCCCTCTGTCTACATGAATGAGGGCCAGTCCTGCCGGGATCCACTGAGGAACATGCCAGCAGGGCCGTTCCTTGCATCCTCTAAGAAGAGGTGGGCCTTCCTCAAAAAGGAAGTTAAGTGGGGGAGCTCTAAGAGGCAGGGATGTCGGGAGGTGCTCAGGGTGGCGGGTGAGATGCTGCTGGATGGACTATGAACTGGGGCGCTCCCCCGCCCCGCTCAGAGGAGACAGAGGCACCGGAGGCCACCCGGGCACTAGGCGTGGTGAAGTCTGCAGAGCTGGGGGGCTGGCCTGCTGGGCGGAGCCTGCCAGGAGCGAGTGCACTGGAGGTGTGCAGCCCTGACGGCCGGCCTGGCAAATGGTGGGTTTAATAAAGCAAAGGGAAACAGGAGAAGTGCCATCCTGGATGGAATAGCAACGCTTAAGGACATCTCACGTAAATATTCTTTGGACCCAACCAAAGCATGAGGTCACAACTCCGTGTGTTGCAGGGGCGAGTTCTGAATGGGCGGTAGCCAAAGGTTGTGTAAAAGTGTCTGGCATTCTTCCTAACGTCCTTGCAGCGGTGCCCAGCTAGGTAAAATGGAACGCTCCTGGGCATAATTTTCGTGTTTCGATGGCGGCAAGTCGTTGTGGGAACAGATGCCGGCCTGCGGCCTGTGCGCTGGCGCGGTGCTCGCTCACTGGCTCACCTCGGGGAGGGCCGGGGCCGCGCTGCGCGTCTGCTTGATGGCCTCCTCGTAGCGGGGCGGGTCTTTAGTCTTGGTGACAGGGGTCCCAAACAGAGAGTGCTGGACGACAAATGGCTGGGCTGGAGGGGGCGAGCTGGGCTGTGTCAAACAGAGGAGGAGGAGTCAGCCAGACGCTCACCAGGCTGTCACCAACATGGTGTTTTGACCATGTCGCCCTGTCAGTACCAACTGCAGCCACTCCATGTGTGACGCCCAGGCCCTGGAATGACTGAACCCAGCATGCACCGCGCCCCCGAGGTCAGGCCGCCCACCCGGCATGCACCACGCCCCGTGGTCATCAAGGTTACCTTGCTGGGCACGCTGGGCCCGTTCTGCAGGGGAGGAAGTGGGGCCAATCGCGGCCCATTCTGCGGGGGAGCAAGCGGGGCAGCTCTGGCGGGAAGCGTGCTGTTGGCGGCCTTAGTGATGAAGGGCTGGGGCGCGGCGGGGACGGCGGGGGCAGGCTGTCTCTGATATGGAAGGATCGCAGTGGGCGCTGAGGTTGTAAAAACCTGGAATGAACGAGTGTTTCTGTCAGCCTGTCCTTTGCAGACAACCCAGTTTGAGTGCTGCGAAGGGCCAGGGAATAGCACGCGTGAGGCCTGTGAGCAGCCTCTGTGGAAGGCCTCGGCAGTGGAGGTGAAGGGGCTGGACCTAGAGACCCAGGCGCCCTGGGCCTGCGTCAGTGTCTGAGCTCACCCCCACTCAGGATCTGCCTCCCCAGCGTCTGCCACTCGCAACATGACTGGGAAGCGCCAAAGCCACGTGGACTCCATCTTCTTGTGTCCACGCAAATGGGCAGGGGAGTGCCAGAGAGCCTTCCTGCTTCAGCACTTTCTAGAACTGCCTCAAGTCAAGCCTCTGCTCAGTGTCACTCCCTGGGGGACTGGGGAGCCGCTGCACAGCTTTCCCACCAGGCGCTGGCTGGCGGAAGCCTGCCCCGCCCCGCCCACAGGCTCTTTTCTCCTCTATCAGCAAAGGTGAGAATTTCTTTTTTTTGGGTCTGGTCTCTGGGCCTGGGCGCTGTCCCTGAGCTCTTCAGCTCAAGGCTAGCGCTCTACCACTTGAGCCACAGCGCCACTTCCGGCTTTTTGCTTAGGTGGTGCTGAGAAATTGAACCCAGGGCCTCAGGCATGCAAGGCAAGCGCTCTACCACTGAGCCATCTTCCCAGCCCAGAGGTGAGAATTTCTTTGTCAGAACTACGGAATGTTTGGTGCAGCTCTATCCAGTCACGAGCTTACAAATCACGTCCACATTGCTGGCGTGGCACTGCATTGCACAGAAATATCCATGTGTTCTTTACACTCCTAATATCCTGACAGGGAAAAAGCCTGTTCCCGGTACTTTGCTTATAAATATACGTCACTGCTCGCAGCAGACACCTGTGTGACAGGGGTGGGAGACGGTGTTTTCTTCCTTCCTGAACCAAACAACACTTAACATTTACTATGCTTAGAGTGACCACACCAAAATAGCATTCTGAGCTTTCTTGAAAGTCCGCGGCCATTAACTACGACTAGGACCGCCTGCTTCCTCTCTGGGGGAGGCGGGTCCGTGGCCTGCTTCCTCTCTGGGGGAGGCGGGCCCCGCGAGCCAGCCGTCTGCTCCCCATGCTCTGTCAGAGCCCTCAGTTGAGCTCTCCTTGTCACCTAGACAGGGCACCCAGGTACCAGGTTACGCTGAAGGTGAACTGTGGGATGCGTTATTGTCCAGGTTTGAAGCAGGAGGCCTTAGGATCTTTCTGGCAAGGAGAAGCACACAGAGCTCCACCTACTGGATGAGAGCAAGTTTTGACTGGAGGCCGCCAAACTCAGGATTGGAGTAGGAACTTGGGCACAGGAGAAAACTGACACTCGGAGAAACAAGTGAATTTTGCATGAGGCCAAGTGTCTGAGTTGTGGCAAAGTACAACCTGGAGAAAACAAAAAATCTTTTTTGGTTGATCATGGGGCTTGAACTCAAGGCCTGGGCTGTTCCTGCGCAATTTTGCTCAAGGCGAGCAGCTCTACCACTTGAGCCACAGCGCCACTTCTGGTTTTCTGGTGGTTCATTGGAGATAAGTCTCAGACTTTCCCACCTGGGCTGGCTCTGAACTGCGATCCTCAGATCTCAGCCTCCTGAGTAGCTAGGATGACAGGTGTGAGCCACCAGTTTTTTTTTTTTAAATGTTTTTTTTTTTTTTATGTTTGTTTTTAACTGGAGGCAGGGTTTTGCTATGCAGTCTAGGCTGGCCAAAGTCTAATCCTTTTGCTTCAACCTGTGTGCTGAGATTATAGGTAGGAACCACCTTACTAGGCACTGTTGGCTCTTAATACACGAGATGACAAACTCTTTATATACATACGTGTGTGTGTGTGTGAGAGAGAGAGAGAGAGAACACGAGTACTTGAGATAAAAATAATCAAGTATCTTCCTCTTCTGTTCTCAGGGAGCAGCAGATTTAATTCACAAAGAAATGTATTTTAAAACAGTAAATTCAATATATGAGAATTTAAAAAGTACTTCTGCAACTCACCTGGAGGAGAGTTAACTATCAAGCTGTCTTTAGCGCTAAAGAGCCCCTCAATCCCAGAGAATGGGACATAGTAGCCCAGCAGCCTCCAATCTAAGGCTCCTCTGATGGCGGGGACCGGGGCACTGGGGAGCTTCCCGAGGCCCAGGCCTCCTCCAGGAGGAAAAGCAGCTGTGCTCCTGGGCGGCACCTTGGCCTGACTGACCTGAGGCTGGCTGAGCACGTGCTGTGGGAAAGTGTCTTGCTTCTGAGGCCCGGCGGGGGCCAGGCCGGAGGGCAAGGCAGCAGCTGGTATCTGAGGCTGGATTCCTGCTTGTTGCGGCGTCTAGGAGGTGAACAGAAATCAAGGAAAAAATCAATGGGCGAAGCAAAACTGGAACCAAGAATTGCCAATTGTATCTAAAATGAAATGAGACACCATGTTGATTAGATAATGTCCACTCATCTGTACAGATCTGAGTCTTGTTTTTGTTTTTGCCAGTTTTAGGGCTTGAACTCAAGGCCTGGACGCTGGTCCTGAGCTGCTTTTGCTTAAGGCTCGTACTCTACCACTTGAGTCACAGCGCCACTTCTGGCTTTTTCTGTGTATGTGGTACCGAGGAATGGAACCCAGGGCTTTAGGCATGCCAGGCACGCACTCTACCACTAAGCCACCTTCCCAGCCCAGATCTGACTCTTAACTGTTTTTTCAAATTTAATTTTAACCCATACCTATGTACCATTAATGGGGTGCCATGGATGTTTTGATAGTGTACATATTATACTTAAGGTTTAAAAGTCAGGTAAAACTTTTATCTTTCTGGTGCTGAGTGAGGAACCAGGCTCCACGTGCCAGGCCAGCGCCCTGCCACTCTATCACGTCTCCACTCTGTCATTTCTTTAGGAACACGTTCACAGCTTTTCTCCTGGCTTTATGGTGGGGTCATCTGTAGTGACCCTACTGTGCAACAGCAGACAGGACTCCCTCTCCTCTATTTTTTGTTTACTTTTGTCACTAGTGGGGCTTGAACCTGTGGCCTAGGAGCTGTCCTCGAGCTTTTTCATTCAAGGCTAGCACTCTACCACGTTGAGCCACACCTCCGCTTCTGGTTTTCTGGTGGTTAACTAGTGATGAGTGTCGTGGATTTTCCTGCCCAGGCTGGCTTCAAACCGGGAACCCTAGACCTCAGCCTCCCAAGTGGCTAGATCATAGTTACGGGCGCCGAGCTCCTGCCCGCCAACCAGCTTTCCCAGGTGAACCTGAGCAAGGCTGACCCAGCATCCATCAGCTGGCCCTTCCATCTGCACAGGGGGCAGTTTCCACCAGAAAACTGGGAACTGAACGGGGCTGCATAGGAGCTCTGCCCATGGCAGGGCAGGATTGTACATTGCACAGCAGTAAGGAGATCTGTGAGCCCCAACTCCACGATCAGATCACTGTTTCAACATGCACCAAGGAGCTTGGGGCAGCCGGCCACATGCTGGGTCCTCACAGGTTGGATAAAATCTGGGTTCATTTCTGTATCAGCGCTAATGAAAAATTGTGTGTGTATGTATATGTCATATATGTCTTTTAAAGAGACAGCATGGAGCCAGGTACTGGTGACTCAGACCTGTGATCCTAGTTACTTGGGAGGCTGAGATCTGAAGATTGATGTTCAAAGAGCAGTTCTTGAGATTTTTGTCTTTAATTATCAAAAGCCAGAAGTGGAGCTGTGGTTCAAGTGAGCCCCAGTCTTGAGTGGAAAAGCAAAGGGAATAGTGGCCAGGCTCTGAGTTCAGTGACCAGCCCTGGCGCATGCACACACATGCACATGCACGCACACACATGCACATGCACGCACACACTAAAGAGACAGTATGGAATAGACTTTCAACTCAGATGATCTACAGATAAAAGTGTTAAGACTTTAGGCATAGGCCAAGGGCTTCCAGATGATTTCTCTCTGTTGTTACAGATATCAAGACCAAGAAGCACTGGTCCACAGGGTCTGTTGTGACTTACAGCCCACAGGTGGTTAAAACCTACCCAGTGGTATACACAGAAGCAACTCGGGCAGATGGGAGGTGAGAAGTTAGGTGGAGACCTGGGGGCCTGGAGCCGCAGCGCCCCTGTCCCCCAGGGCTGTGGGTCCTGAGGCAGCGTCACACCACCAGCGCCTTCTAGGATCCAGATCTGGGGGTCAGAAGACCTGGGTCTAGAGGTCCTTAGCTAGAAGTGGGGTCTGTCTCTGGGGCCCCTCTGGGGAAGGGGGAATTGATGTTGGGGCTGTGCTAAAGGGCAGCCACTGGTGTTCTAAAGGGTCTCTACGCCCGACACGGTTTACTGAGGGGAACAGCAGGAACAGAAAGGCCTGTGTTCACTGGATGAAAATGGGGCTAGCGGGGCTGGGAAGGTGGCTCAGTGGTAGAGCGCTTGCCTTGCATGCTCAAGGCCCTGGGTTCGATTCCTCAGCACCACATAAGCAAAAAGAAAAAAGCCGGAAGTGGCGCTGTGGCTCAAGTGGTAGAGTGCTAGCCTTGAGCTGAAGAGCTGAGGGACAGCGCCCAGACCCAGAGTTCAGGCCCCATGACTGGACCCAAAAAAAAAAAAAAAAATGGGGCTAGCCCTCCACTTGTGAACGGTTTCCCTGCCAGTGGTGAAGCCACTGAGGGAGAGGGGTGGGGGGGAGTTAAAAGCGACTCGGCATGATGGGCAGATGCGCGTCCCACCTGGAGCTTGAGGCCGCCCACCGGGAGCTGCACTGAGGTGACGGCCGAGCCCTGGATGGAGACGGGGAGCAGCAGCTGGGCCGTCTGCGTGGTGAGCAAGGCCTGCGGCTGGGCGATCACGGTGGGCGGCTGTCCCTGGGGGCTCACATAGAACTGCGAGACGATGCTCTGCGGCTCGGCCGGCGCCTCCTGCTTGATGACCACGGCCTTTTTGGCCACGAGGGCCTGGCCACCGGTGGACACGGGCTGGCTTCCCGAGTGGCCGGCCACGGGGCCAGGCTGCCGCGGGCTGGAGCAGTCCGGGAGCGAGGCCTCGTCCTTGACGGTGGGAGGCACGCTGCTGCCCTGCTTTGGGTCCGACCTGCTGACGGGATGTGGGGCCGTGCCGGGCTGGGGCTCGGGGGGCCGCTGCTGCTGGCCTCGTTTCTCCACCTCCAGCTGCATCTTGAGAACCTCCACGAGCTTCTGCTCCTGCTCCAGCTTCCTCTTCAGCTCCTCGATCTGCTTCTCCTTCTCCTGAAGCTTGCGGTCCTTCTCGGCCGCGTCCTGCTCCAGGGTGGACAGCGTGCTGCTGGCGGGGCTCAGGCTGTCCTCGTGGCTCGCCACTCTCAGCGGGGACGAGCACAGGAACTGCGAGGGTGACATCATGGTCATGATCTCGGTCAGCGTGTCGGCCATGGCTGCGTCGTCGGTGCTGAGGCTGGACTGCTCGGAGGGCGCGGGGGAGATGGGCAGGGGGGAGTGAGCGGCGTCCGCAGGGGTGGGGTGGCTGGCTCCGGCGGGCGGCAGCTCCGCCTTGAGCGTGGGGACAGGGCCCGGCCCGGCAGCACTGGGTAGCGCTGTGACCGGTAGGGCCACGGTGACCTCCGGGTTACTGGTGACGATGGCAGCGGAGGCCGCCACCATGCCACCCGCAGCAAGGCCGCCGCCTGCCTCCTGGAAGGGCTTCAGGCGCTCGATGAGGTCTGGCTTGGTGCCCGACACCGGCAGTCCCCTTAATTTCAACTCTGTCTTCAGTTCTGATACCTGGTGGCACAAAGAAATCACATCTCTGGGTTTAGAGGGATCTGGCGGAGCCACAGGCTGCTGTCCACCCCGTACCTAGGGAGCTGTGTGGTGTCCCCAGCCCGCAACCATGGCTACCCCGGGAGCTGTCTCCTCCGTGTGCTCACCGACAATGACGCTTGGTTAGCAAGCAGGGCACAGGAGGAGACGAACCAGAGACTACGCACACCCTCTACCAACAGCTGCTCTCCACACTGCCAGCACAAGACAGTCCCTGAGAGCTGTTACGGGCCTCCTAGAAAACCCACGGGAAGTAAAAGCAAGTGCCTCTGAAAAGGCTCTGGTGTGGTGGAAGGTGCTGTGAGCTGAGTGCTCCGTGTCTGGCAGGCTGGCCTAGTGGGCTCCGTGTGGAATCACCTTAAGGTCATCCAGACTGGAAGGCAGAGGCCCCGGCTTCCTGCCGGGCGCGGCGGGGCTCTGTCGGGGGGTGCTGGGCGTGGTGCTGCTCAAAGTCGGAGTCCCACTGTTGCTGTTTTTGTCATTTCTTCAAAAGAAACCAAGTTCATAATTAGACAGTTTCTCCTAAGGGTTAGCTTAGGAAGACACTGGGGCCCTGGTCACGGATCGGGAGAGTCAACAGTGTCAACTAGATCCCAACAGACCCGCAGCAGGTTTTGTGAGCTTGTTTGTGCTGGGGTGCCTCACAGAGGGCGGCCGGGCTGGAAGGGCGGCCTGTGTGCTACCAGCTCGCGCTACGCTCCGGGTTCCGCGCCGGCATGGTGCTGATGGAGAGCAGCCAAGCAGGGGACAGAATGGAGCCGGAACCAGAGCTCCCTCCACACAGTCCGGGAGCTAGCAGGGTGGCATTGCCATGCAGTGGAGGGAGGGAGTGCTTCAACCATGGCACACTTTCTAGAGGTCTGGATAAAATGTCAAATGCTTATCTTTGTTTCCCTCTGTGCTGCGCAGCCTCACTGTCTCCTAAGGAGCCTTCAGACACTTGCTCTCTGCTCCTGCTCTGCTCTGCGCTCCCTGGGTCTGAGCAGCGGACGCATGGCCTGCGCGGCCCTGGTGCGTAGCCTCAGCCACTGCCCGGAGGACGCACACTTCAATTATTCTATGCAGACATCTCCAGTTGAAAAGCACTTGGTTTAAAGTACTTGTGACTACGATTCAGTGTTTAACTTGGTTCTGTTACTTTAAAGGCTGAATGAATCTCTTCACTCAAAGCCAGAGAAAAAGAGGAAGGAGCTGAGGGGTGCATGCAGGCTGCCGTGCTTCCCCGACCTTCCGTGGCCGTCCACTCTGGCCGAGGCAGATTGAAGGAAGCCCTCTCTTACTCCTTCACAAACAGAAGGACTACACAAGGTGGGTTAAATGCCACTGGCATGGGTACTATCGGGCTCCAGGCTTTGTGAGGGAATTCGGGTAAAGATAAATAATGTACTGTGGTACTGGGGTTTGAACTTGGGACCCTGTACTTGCTAGGTAGCTGCTCTACCACGTGAGCCATGCCCCAGTCTTTTATGCTTTAATCATTTTTCAGACAGGTTCTCGCTATGTTGCCCAGGTGGATCTGGACTGCAATCCTCCTCCTTTGTGTCCTACGTGGCTGGGAAGACAGGTGTGAACCACCAAGCCCGGCTGGCCTTTTGCTGTTGAGATGGGACTGTGCTAACGTCTCCCTCCTTTGCTTTGCCACCACCCGGCACCTGGGCACCCTCTCCACCAGCGCTCGCATCATGCCCCAGCCCTTCCAGGTGCGTCCTGAGCCATTCCCATAGAAGCATTTGCTTTCACCGGGCGCTGGTGGCTCATGTTTGTCATCCTAGCTAGTGGGGAGGCTGAGATCTGAGGATTGTGGTTCAAAGCCAGCCCAGGCAGGAAAGGCTATGAAACCACCAGAAAACCAGAAGTGGCTCTCTGGCCCAAGTGGTAGAGCATTCACCTTAAGCTGAGGAGCTGAAGGACAGTGCCCAGGCCCAGAGTTCAAGCCCCACGACTTGCTTTCTTCGACCACTCCCACTCTTGTGCCCACTTCTTTTCAACAGGCAAATCTCTCCTGCATGACTAAGTGTGAAAGGGCATCTCTAACTTACAAAGCCACCCTCACTGTGACTTCCAGTGCGATACTGTGAGCTTGGATAGCAAAGTGTGAGCAACCGTGGAGCTTGAACACAGGACCACACCCAACCTCCAGACCTCGGGTCCTCCTGACCCCAGAGCCCCGCCCACTGCCCACGCCGTACTTGATGGGCGCAGGCAGGATGGCCTGGTAGCTGTAGTGCTGCTGTTGCTGCTGGCTGAGGATCTGCAGCTGCAGGAAGAGCTGCTGCTGCTGGAGCAGCCGGGCGTAATTGGAGTCCATCTGGGGTGCATTCTTCTCCCCCTTCTGGTCTGGAGGAATGTACTGGTGGTACTTTAACTTCTTTACCCGTGGCTTGGGATCTTTGCACTTTTTGCTGCGGTGTTTATCATTCGGATTCTTGGGATGGCTTTGCTGTTTTTCGGAGGGAGAAAGACAAGATCGTTTTTCACAGCTTTACCCTTGCAGTTGATGGTAGTGGGAATCTCAGTGACTAAGTGAGAAAGCAGTGCACCTGGGAACTAGTGTAGCCATCACAGCTTTACCCTTGCAGTTGATGGTAGTGGGAATCTCAGTGACTAAGTGAGAAAGCAGTGCACCTGGGAACTAGCGTAGCCATCACATGGCAAGAGCCAGGGAGACAGGCCACGCTAGCTTAGACCACACAGCCTCTCCCGCGGCACCGTTCTTGGGATCAGTGCGGCATTCGCCCTTTAAGCTGGATGAGCCCTGACTGCGGGCCGTGTGGACACAGTGCTCAGGGTTTACCTGTCACTTCATAGTGAAAGACACACACGCGCACACTAAATGTGCAAAGGGGAAGGACAAGACTAGTTCACTGCAGTGTTTAAAAGTAGATGGGGGCTGGGAAGGTGGCTCAGTGGTAGAGTGCTTGCCTTGCATGCCTGAGGCCCTGGGTTCAATTCCTCAGCACCACATAAGCAAAAAGAAAAGGCACTGTGGCTCAAGTGGTAGAGCGCTAGCCTTGATCTGAAGAGCTGAGGGACAGCGCCCAGGCCCAGAGTTCAGGCCCCACAAAAAAAAAACCAGAAGGAAGAGAAGGGAGTGCTTGCCCGTCTATACCTGGAGTGGTCCCTGGCGAGTCTCTGGGCATGCTCCGGGCCAGCATGTGCTGACCCTGTCTCCCGGCCTTTGCATGTGGTGACCGCTCGGTGCTCACAGGACGCTTCTGCAGCATGTCATGGCTGTGTGATGCAGCGGGTGGACATGGCCGGGGCACTGGAGCCAGCGCTGGCTCACCAGGGCTGATGTGGACATGTCCTCCATCTCTTTCCAACTCAGCCTTGTGGTGGCATCTTATCCTCAGCTTCCCTAACCAAGCCCTGAGTGTCACTTTTTTTGGGAGGGGGTCAATTTGGGGCATGAACTCAGGGCCTGGGCACTGTCCCTGGGCTTCTTTGTGCTCATGGCTAGCACTCTACCACTTGAACCACAAGGCTACTTCTAGTTTTTGAGTGGTTAATTGGAGATGAGTCTCATGGGGACTTCTCTGCCTGGACTGACTGGCTTTGAACCACAATCCTCAGATCTCAGCCTCTTAAGTAGCTGGGATTACAGGTGTGAGCCACGGGCAACCAGCTTGAATGTCACATTCTTAAACAGTGCTTTTTCCCCCAACCAAGGCCTTCTATTGAGAAAGACTGCAGCAAAGAGCAGAAACTTGGAGGCAGTGCTGGATTTTCATGTCAGCAGAGGAAAACGAGCTGCCTCTAGCCCTGACATCACGAGGATGTGCGTATGGAGAAGCCCAGGTACGAGCTGATGGGCAGGGATGGCCCCAGTGCTACGCAATGGGAGTTGGTGACACACACAACGTGCTGTCCAGCGGCCCCGTGGGGAGAGAGCCGGCGGCAGCTCTCGTGGGCGGCGCTCCCTTGCTGCTATGTGGGGTGGGCAGAGCTGCCCTGGCCCCGTCCAGCTCCTGACTGGCAGCTAAGTCCCTCATGACCTTTCCAGTTCCACTTTGAAAGGATTATAGCATTTTTCTCAGGTTACCAGCCCGCCCATATACTTCAGTGAGAGATTCTAAGTATCATTTTAAGAACTTTAAGAATGTTCTTCTTCCCTGCGATTTTTTTCTAACTGCCCAAGTGAAATGTAGGGACAGGACCCGAGTGGGAAGCTTCTCTAGGCGGCGCTGGTGGGAGGATTGGAGGCCTGACCCCGTGGGCCAAACCTGGTCTGCAGAACATGTCGTGTATGGACAGGTTTAGTGGGCATGCAGATGGGCGCCCTGCCCCGCCATGTGTGCACTCGGTACCCACCTTCACCAGGGCAGGGCCAGGTTTTGCGGAGGACACAGTGTTTGTGGGAAGGACGGGAGCTGTGGACCGGGTGGGAGGCTGGTCCGTAGGGGGAGGTGTTTTCAAGAATTCAGGAACTGTTGGGGTCACTGAAGTAAACTGGTGAAAAAGGCAGAAAAGGAACAAGGAAACTGGAATGAATGACAAGAAATCACCTCATTAAAAGTCTAGCTGGGCACCAGTGGCTCACACCTGTAACCCCAGCTACTCAGGAGGCTGAGATCTGAGGATCATGGTTCGAAGCCAGCCCACTCAGTAAGTGCGTAAGACTCTTATCTTCAAATAACCACTCAAAAACCGTAAGTGGAGCTGTGGCTCAAAGGGGTACAGACTAACCTTGAGCAAAGAGCTCAGGGCCTCAAGTTCAAGCCCCACAACCATAAAAAAAAATCCACTAGAGAAGAAATGAAGGAAAAATGCACTGTGTCTGAGACTCAGGTGGTGGAGCATCATGCCTTACCTCGGAGGGATCAATTATTTAGGCTTTGTCCCATATCAATGAGCAACTCTAGGTAAGGCCAGCCTGACTGTTGTATGTTCTCAGAATTATGCTCAGAGCTTACCACTTTTTGGCAGAAAAAAAAATTTCAAGATTCATGATCAGAACAATATACGGCATTTGTACAGTTTTCGGGCTGGCTGGAGGCTACAGTACAGGCCTACTGCATCCCCAACCCGACCAGCAAGTGTTGGCCACACCTCCACTTCCCGCGGTAGGAGAGTGGCTGAGGGGCGTGCTGTGCTGTGCTGTGCTGCGGCCTCCCTCTAGCCACCTTGCCTATGGAGAAGGGCTGTCCTGTCCTGTTCTCTCCATCGCAGCTGCTGGTGCTCAGTGGAGGGAGTCAGGTGAGCAGAGGAAGCAGGAAAGGCTTTGCTGGGTTTTCTCACCTTTTGTTGTTATTGTTGGCTGGCGGCTTTAACTCAGGGGCCTGGGCGCTGTCCCTGAGCTCTTTTTGCTCAAGGCAAGTGCTCTACCACTTTGAGCCACAGCTCCACTTGTGGGTTTCTGGTGATTTATTGGAGATAAGAGTCTCATGGACTTTTCCTGCCCGGGCTGGCTTTGAATCCTGATCCTTAGATCTCAGCCTCCTGAACAGCTAGGATGACAGGCGTGGATCATTGGCACCAGGTGGTTTTCTCACTCTACGAGCAATCTACTTTCAGATTTTAAGTGTCAATCTACTGGAAATAGCACTATGTCAGCAGTCAGTGGGAGGGATGTGGTAGGCTTAATACCAGCTCTACTTTAAGGAACAGTGTCTTGATTTTCTTTACTTTCATTTCCCCACACAGTTCAGACTTACGACACTAACAATCAAAGTCAGTTCTCTAGAAGTACTTGTGTTTTAAAATAGTAAATCATATTTTCCCCAAAATCCAGAGGGCTATTAGCAGCAAGAAATATGAAGCACGGCTCATCTAGTTACTTAACAAACATTTGTTTAATGGATGAATGGACATTCCTTGTGGCTTTGCTCAGCTAGGTCACATTCCCCAGCCCGGCCGGAGCTGTGTGCGCATGCAACTGTGTGTGCCAGCTCAGCTTTCTTCATGGATGTCAGCTTGGAAGTCATGGCTAACAATACGAAACCCTTCAGAAAGATGGTCACACTCCATGATTCAAGCAGAAATGAAGGGAAACGACTCATCCCGGTGATGGCCCCAACATCCCTGGAAGCCCTGGCCCCTTCCTGAACCTCAGACCAGCTCACCTCACACTCCACGCAGAGGATGTGGCCTTCCTGAATCCTTGCATCCTTTTTGCGAACAAGGGTACTTATCTCTGGGTAAGTTATCACAGAGGGCAAAAAACATCTCCTAGGCTATTCTGTAACTATGAGGTAGAATGGAATGTTTGAATTATAAATTATATATGCATGTATCTACTCCAGATACATTGTGAGCTGGGAATCATGTGACCTGTCCAGCCCTCACCGACTAACTGGTATGACAGTGTGAGCAGGGTTAATAATCTGAAAAAGCATCCAGAAGCACGGATGCAGAATCCACCATAATAGTTGTGGAAATGTTCTGCCTCATTTCTAGGCCGTGCCAAATCATCCTTAGTCGCAATTACTGTTCTCATGAACTCCTCTGGAATTTCAGAAAAGCACAAGAATAACTGAACTGAAATAGTGGTGGTTAGCCACTCTTATTGCAAAGATAATTTCTAGTAAAGAGAGAAGTATTTAAACTCTTCTTCACATTGTTAGTACACACACCCCTTTTTTGGTAGTACTGGCTTTTTGCACTTGCTCTACTGCTTGAGCCATACTCCCATCCCTTTTTGCTTTTGAATAGGGCCTTGTGTTTATTCCTCAGGCTGGTCTGAACCTTGAGCCTCCTACTTACGCTTCCCACCTATCTGGGGTAACGTTTATGTACTACAGTACCCAGCTACTGGTTGAGCTCAGGGGCTCACAAACTTCTGCTTGAACCTCAATCATTCTGTCTCCCAAGTACCTAGAACAATAGCACTTTGTTATATTTTGTAAGGCTTTTTCCTTGTTATTTACCAAAGTGTTGCTTTGAGCATGGCTGTGCACGACCCCCAGTATCTAGGATAGCAGGCGCCATACTGGAGAGTCTGGTTCTATGTTGAGAAGGGTCTTATAAGTAGTTCTGCCAGGTCTGGCATCAAACTATGATCCTTCTCCCCCCAGGCTCCAAAGCAGCTAGGATTACAGGTGTCAGTGGCTTCCAGTTTATTAGTCTTTTTAGTGTGCCTTAAAAGAGAGAAAAGAAATAGGCCATCCTGGTGGATCAAGCCTGTTAATTGTAGCACCTTGGGAGGTAGTGAGCAGGGGACTGCTGCTGGAGGCCAGCCATTTCAGTCAGCAGCTGGGTGTGTGCCTGTTATTGGCGGGCTGGCATCATGGCTCTTGAGCCTGCCTTTCCCAAAGACAGCGGGGGG